ACTGTACTTTAAAATGCTTTGTCTGCAGAAGTTAGTCTGTGTTTTGTAATGAGGTGTTCTAGAAAATGACATCTGGACATTACTCCATTGTGAAATGCGGCAAGTTTAAGCATGTTTTATCTGTGAATTTCACCTTGGCTTTTACTGTGGATCCATTACTGGAATCTGCATAATGATGTATATGAGGCTTTAAGGAAAATATTACACCATAGGTTTCTTCTTTTAATTTTGTCAACAGCATTAAAGCAGCGTGTTGGGAAGAAATGAGGGGGGGCAAAAGTAAACGAAAATGTATTCTGTTTGAACTGATGCCAGATAGCACATACCTGGGGGTTCATACAAAGGTCTCTGTCCTGTAGAGTTCATAGTATACACCAGGAAATAGAAGTCAGCTTCATTCAGTTAGCAGCTAATTCTGGTTTTCTCTCACCGTTTGCTGTCCATTTTCTATCTGACTGTCGTTGACTATGTATTCTTTGGCCAGGTGTTTGGGGCAAAATCCCCTATCTGTATTCTTAACTATCAGAGAACCAACTATCTGTGGATGATTGAAACGTAATTATTCTGGAGGCTTTCATAGATGTATTGACTTCAAGGGGTGTGTGTTTTTAATGAGGACTGCCTTGGTGTTTTGATTTTTGTATCCGCTTGAATCAGTGCTCATTTAGCAGAAGCAGTGGGAAGTTCAAGTATCCTTTAAGAAATGCATTCTTTAGGTTCTTTAGGAAACTGTGCAATTCTAAAGATGTTTCTCATGATGCTGGAGAGACATGGAATGCGAGGGCAATGACTATAGAAATAGCAGTAACATCTACTTTTTTCTTTTCCTACATTACTGTGTTACTGGAAATATGCACAAGCAGAGTAAGAAGTCACAAGTATTTATGGATCCTGATCTTTTCCAAGTGGCACAAAAATACATCTGTTCAACGCATCTATCAGTCAGTTGTACACTTACCCTCTGCCTTTAACCTTAATATCTACTTTTTTTTTGCCCCTTGCTTTACAGGCTGGGCAGAGAATGGATTGAGAAGAGCCCTGAAGAGAAGGACTTGGGGGTTTTGGCCCATAAGAAATTGATCATGACCTGGCAGTGTGTGCTCCCAGCCCAGAAACCAGCTGTATCCTGGGCTGCATCAGAAGCAGCATGACCAGCAGGTAGAAGGAGATGATTCTCCCCCTCTACCTCTGCTCTTGTGAACCCCCCCCCGCAGTCCTGCATTCAGCTCTGGGTCCCCAGCACAAGAGGGACGTGGAGCTGTCAGAGTGAGTCCAGAGGAGGCCACAAAGATGCTCAGAGGGCTGGAGCACCTCTGCTATGGAGACAGGCTGAGAGAGCTGGGCTGGGTCAGCCTGGAGAAGACTCAGGGGAGACCTTAGAGCAGCTCCAGTGCCCTAAGGGGGTTTACAAGCAATCTGGAGTGGGACTTTTTACAAGGGCAAACCTGTGATCCTAACTGAATTTGACTCTTATTATCCAAGAAAAACCCTTTAAAGTCTACGGAAATAGATAGCTGGCTAGTGTATCTTCGCAGTGTTCTGAAATACTGGTGAATCCACTGAGTTTTATTTTTTTTCAGTCCAATGTTCATGCAATCACTTCATGATATAAGTAATTCTAAGGCCGAACAAATGCTTGTTTCTGTGCTCTTTCTTTTCCTACAGTCAGCCCTTAGGTGGCACTATGTCAGAGGAGGTTACAGCATCTGTGTCTACACCCGAGCTTCACTCTCAACACCATCCCAGAGATTCTGCTGTCTGTTCAGAGGTCTGACATTTCTGCTTGTCCAGAGCATCTAATTCAGATGCTCTTCCTGTGACAAATGCTTATTCTCCTTCAGTTCTCTAAAGCTGAAGTATTTGGGGATCGAAGAGCAGAGACTTACATCTCCCAAGAATTCTCTAGAAGAAAATAAAAAAATTGGTGAGATATCACACTGTGACTTTATTAAGTAAATTCTGGTAGAGCTGGGACTGAAGTGTGATAATCCTTTAACAAATGAAGAAAACAAGTGCTCTTGAAATTGGGTGAGTTTTTTAGTCTAATGTACTACTCTAAATTACATAGAAAAGGCATAATGTTGTTATCTCTTGTATACCTCAGTTTAGCTGCTATCTGCAGTCAACCTACCACATTTTATTGCAGTTATGTATGTATGTTATGTACTTCATTTATGTTTTGAGGTCTTTGCTTTTGTTTAGGAGCAGGATAAACTCCATTGCCTGGAGGCTGTTAACCCACATGCACGATTGCATGCCTGACTGGTCGTGTAGATCCCACTTTAGAGCATCTAGTATGGGACCACCTTGTCTCCTATAACTTAGTGACAAATAGATGATATCTTCTGGTCTGAGCTGAAGATACAGGTGGATCCTGGCTGCTGTGGCTTATCCCTCCCTCAGCACTGAACGGGCTGACTCCAGGAGTGCTGTTTGAGAGGAAGATGCTCTTGAGTAATTCAGCCCTTGGGACCTATCTGCTCAGCAATAACACAAAGCAGCTTGTGCATTGGTTGTCATTGTCACTTGTGCCAACTAACCTCAGACTGTGTTGAAGTAGTTATGAAATAACCTGAGAAAATTCACACAACTAATTTGTAAATAAGGCCCAGATTGGCAATGTGAGTGTGAGTATTTTTTTTTCTGGCCTTACTGAATCATATATTGGAACAAAACTTTCATTCTAGCAGGATATGAACACAATTGTGCAACTTATGTGCAACAGACAATATTAAGTCAAACAGGTTATTTGTTCCTGTCCCATAAGCAACATGTTTGCTGTGGTGTTCTGTATATTGTCAAAGCATGAAGTGCAGCATAATGTCTTGTTCTTCATCTCACTCAAATGTTTTAAAAAGATGCTCTGAAACTTGCATGAAGACTTTTAATTTCTTACGGATTTCACAATCACTTCAGATTTTGACAAAATGTAGGTCAAAAAGGGATTATGAGTGATTCAGTTTTGGGATGTTTTATCTGGGTCATGTAAATGAAGTCTGATATTTAAAAGTGATATCAGAAGCTTATGTTTAGGGGGTTATGAAGAACAAAATCACTAGTAATTTTAGAAATAAAGTTGGACCCTGTGGCTGGGCTACTGCATCAGGGCTCAGATCAAGAGTTGGCTTTGGTTGTTTAGCACAGCACATGTCTATCAGAAGATGGCAGTCCTGCAATGCTTTTCAACCAGACTCTGAGGGCCTTCCCCCCTTTGCCTCGTATTCAATAACTGTAGAAACCCTGTGAGAATCTGGAGATATCACTGATTATCAATCTCAGTTTTCTGTATGAGGAATGTGACTCTGAGTCTCTTTCAAAATTGATCTGGAATTTTGGTGGCAAGTGGAATTCTCCTGCTCTCAAAGAAGAATTCACCTTTCCAAGGGGCTGCAGAGCCTCCGCTGGTGCTGCGGCAAGTAGTCTGCTCCTCTGCCACCCCAGGAACCTGTGTTCCAAGTTATGTGGCCCAGTTTAAGTGTCTGTGTGACTCTAGACCTCACACTGCCGTGTAACCAGTACTGCCAAAGGCTTCTGTTGTTATAAGGGTATTGGCGAAATTGGCTTCTGGTCTGTGGCTTCCTGACTTCTGACTCACTGTTCATGATGCACAATATCACACTATCAAGTAACTTCCTACCATTGCTGGGCTATGTCTGCTTTTGCATGCAAGAGCTGTTTAGCTGGATTTCTTCTGTCTTACAATGTGCAGATCAAGCATACACAGTATAGCAACATAGCTGCCTGAGCAGTTAATATTGCTTAATTCAAATTATGAAATCCACAAAAGCCTCAAATGTGGACATCATGGAAAAGCATGGCGTATTGTCTAACTGGATGGGTAACTTCTGTTTTTGAAGAGCTGGAGAGAATCCACTATCATCAAACCAAGCTGTAAAATGACTTCAGGACCTGAGCTAAGTGATGCAATGGCTGTTGTGTTCAGCTTCTTGTAACCACATGAGCTGAACCTCTTCTTTCAAATCAGGGAGTGTTTCTTCAAAAGCATTATCATATAACCAACCTGAAATAGATCTCTATTGTAAAAAGACTGCTCCACAAAGTAAGAAAACCTACCCAACAAAACTCTCATACCTGGGAACTCATCCCACTTTTCTGCATAAAGGGTAGTACAACCTACAGCAAGAACTTCTATGTATTCCATATTCCATTGGGTTTATTCCATAAACCCAACGCCTGGGTTTATGGAAGACCAGACTAAGTATGATGATAATTTGAAACTTTAAGGCAGTTTTCCTCTACAGGACAGTTTGAATAGTCAATACTTTCATTAGAAATGGTTGAACACCAGATTGACTGATTTATTTATTTATTTATTTTCCCCAGAAGAAGTCCCGTTGCTTCAAAAAGGGGTTTTCTGTCTGACTTAGAAACTTGGGGATCCTAAAAACTTAAAAACAGTTTTAAAAGAACTTACTTCAACTTAAATTTCTCACTACTGAATAACAGCTGGTTTTAGTGATCTTAAAAATGTTTAATGCCATAGCTGGCCTCCGTTGTGTTTTGGTAGTTTTAATGGTACTAGGTTCCTTTGTTTTTATGTGTGGAGTGCTATTTCAGAAAAATAATGTGAAATGATTCTAAAATGAAAAAGAAATTGGACTTGATAATTTTAACATGAATGTGTTAAAATATTTTGGAAAAAGAAATCATATGTAGTTACTTGTTTTAAATCTTATATGGGTTTCTAACATAACTGAAACCAGCACTTTCACTAAAAAGCATTTCAGTAACAGAAGCTCCTGTCAGCTCCGCTTACCCCTTAACATCCCTGTGTAACAGAAAGAAGAAAGAAGAAAAAGCTACAAACTGTTTTCTTTAACTATTTGCCACTGCCCATAGGAGCCAGCCTCCACACTGCAGCTGTAATCTGTAGTGAACTTGGCAAAACCCCTCGCTGCTGTGCATGTGGCTGGAGGAGTTAGTGGGAGCTGGAAGGCTGCTGTTTGGATGTTCAGATCACTCCACCTGATCCTGGCAAAATGCAGGTATGGATTTTAGGAATAGAGAAAGTAATAGTAGATATCTGTAGTTGCAACGTTTTGTTAGGTCTTCTGTAGTTTGTGAGGGATGCACCTGTCCCAGGATATCCCTCTGCATGCGGTTATTCAAACCTTATTGTAGTGGATAACTATTTTACTTTGGGAATAACTTACGACAAAATGTTTGACCCATCTCTTCCTTTTGCCTAGATCACTACGGTGTTCAAAAAACCACCTTTGTGGTACAGGGTAAGTACATAATTTGTACTTTTGACATCAGCGGGAGGTGGAGCTATGAGTCAAACTATACAACTCTTCTTCCCTGCCTCAGTTGGTTGAAAGATAGTGTAGACCAGGACCAGCTGCCAGCTGTAGGACATACAGACTGGACCAGTATAGTGTTGCCTTTTATGAAACAGAGATACTAATGGGATCATCAGCCTATTCACCTTTGGTAAGAGAAAATCAGTGGTGGGGCGGGAGGATCTTGGTTGAGATTCATCAAAAAGCAAATGCTTGGGTAATTTTGATCCTTAAATGTCAAATGGGTCTGCCGTGTACAGATTATTAGTAAGAGCAGCTGATGATAGATGCTCTTGGTAAGATGGACATTTGTTCCATTATGAGGAGGAAAAATGGTAGGGACTTTTGTTATTGCCATAGCAAATCTGAGCAGAAACTGAAAACTGGGAACTGTTGACTGCTGGTTTTCATCACTGGTCCCTCTCTTGGCTTCTTGTCCCCAGGACTGGTTCATCCAAGGAAACCCACACAGGAAGATTGAAATCAAGGGGAGGAATCATAAAAGACTGCATAGCACTGAAGATGAGGTACTGTATAGAGAGCACCTTCTGGGTTGCAGGGAGAGGGCTATGGGATATGAACAATGACTGTGCTACCTGCAGTCTTCCTCCAACCTTTCCCATCTCTCCCTAAGTTTAACCGTTATTATGAGAGGTGATAGGTTTTAACAGTTAGTAAAGGGAACATTTGTTTCTTCTGCGAGTGTGCATTCCAGAACGGAAAACGTTCACTATGACTTAGGGGTTTGGAAGGTGAGGAAGGTGATGAAATTGTGGTTAGATGCTGGGCAAGGAACTGGGAGAGTTGGATTTTAATCTTGATTTTACTGTGACATCACTATGTGATGGTAGTTGTACCTCATAACACCCAAGGCTCAGTTCTCAAATTTTTCCCTTTGCCTTTTGGATTTTTCAGTTTCTGCCACTTAAAAGAATTCCAAACACTAATTTTTATGAAACTGAACTGATAAAAGGTGTTGGAAGAAAGAATAATTGGGTTTGTGTCTGCATATTTTCTTAGTACTTCAGTCATCTCATGAGTAAGTTTTCTCTAAAATCCTGGATGCGTATGGTACTAAAGCTGAGGATGAAAAATTAACCCTCTGTTTTTGGGATAAAAAGTTGAGCTTTCAGCAATTTAGATCATCTGCTCCTATCATTCTCTCTATCACCATAAATATTGCTGCCAAAAATTCTGCTGAGGTTGATGGGTTTCTTCCAAACATATTGGTTTTGGTCAAATGACACTTTCTAGGAGAAAACTAGGGTTGAGAATTTTTCCAGTGAGCTGTAAGTAGCATCTAGCCTGGTGATGTACTGCTTTTCAGACAATTAATCTGCTCCTGTCAGGACACTGGTGTATCAAAACAAGAGGTACACAGGGAGGTCCTAAGGAGAAAGTTTTTCAGAAATCATGATGCTTTGAAGATTAATTGCTCCTTTCATTTTAATTAATGGAACTACTGCATGTAGCATGTAGCATTTTACTGCTGATGTTCATCAAGGTTGTCTTGTTTTTCTTGTAACCAAGTATAGGGTTGTGTGTAGGTGTGATGGGGAGTGGAAGGAGAAAACAAAAAATGGAGAGGGTTGTGGATCCTTCAAGCTATTCCCTTACAGAGCCCTACACGCTGGGGTGTCAAGCCCCACACGATGGGATGTCAGTTTATGGCTATAGTTCAGTGCTTCTCCTTGGTAAATCAATCAGGTCAGGTTTTTCCATGTGAACATATTGTAATTTATTATGCAAAAGTCCTGCATAAGCCATGGCGTTCTGGATCTAATTTCACATATGTGCATTCATATACAATTATAACTTTCATTATTGCTCTTTTGTGTTGCATAATCTAACACTGGCAATTTCACTCTCATCCTACCAGATGTGTAATTTGGTTTGTGTTTGCAAGTTTCCGTCTTACTACAGTTTTTTGAGATTTTGTGATTTATGCTTTCTTCAATTCTGGTTTTTCTCCAGCCTTTGCTTTAGGTACATCTATCAGTTCTGTATGTTGTGGTAATATGGTTGCCTTGTGATTAATGTAGACCCTGTCTATGGATGTCATGTTATCTGTACTCAGTATGACAGAGAGCTCTCTCTTCCCTGCCACCCCCCACCCCAACCCCCCAACAAACAAACAAAAAAACCCCACTCAACATAAAAAACCAAAAAGCAAACCCAGCTTCTTCTGCCTATGTCATGTCAAATTTGCAATGAAATGCTAGAGCTGCATTACAGGGAGCGAGACCTACATGTGAAATGGAAGAATGCTTATCCTAAGTCTCTGATTTTCTGACTTCAGCCTTCCTCCTGCTGGTGTAACTAAAAAGCTCTGGAGTCCCGTATTGGGATGCTTGCTTCATGAACCATTCTCTCCCTCTCTTAGTTATTTATTTCTTTTTAAGAGTCGGGTGTTTTGGTACGGTGAAGGATGTTACAGCATTACATATCCCACAGCCAGACTGGCCAGTAGCAGTGGCATCTTGATAGGGGCATTATAAAATGCAGGGTATCTGCCCTGTTTTGCAGTAACCACCTCCTTCAACCTGCTGTTCATGTTTCTTGTGATGCAGCCCAGGATACAGTTGGCTTTCTGGGCTGTGAGTGCATGCTGCCGGCTCATGTTGAGCTTCTCATCAACCAATACCCCCAAATCCTTTTCCTCAGGGCTGCTGTCAATCCAGTTTCTGTCCAGCTTGTAGTTGTGCTTGGCATTGCTCCGATCCCGATGAAGGATCTTGTCCTTGCCCTTGTTGAACTTCATGAGGTTTGCATGGGCCCACCTCTCCAGCCTGTCCAGGTCTCTCTGGATTGCACCCCTTCCTTCCAGTGTGTCAACTGCACCACACACTTTGGTGTCATTGGCAAACTTGTTGAAAGTGCACTCGATCCCACTGTCCGTGTCACTGACACATGTTAAACAGCACTGGTCCCAGTGCCAACCCCTGATGAAACACCACTTGTCACTGGTCTCCATTTGGGCATTGAGCCGTTGATTGCAACCACCTAGCCATTTCCCTATCCACCCAGTGGTCCAGCCATCGCATCCACACCTCTCCAGTTTAGAGACAAGGATGTCATGCGGCACAGTGTCAAACACTTTTGCAGTTAGGTTTTTCCCTTTTCCAGTCAGCAGGAACTTCACCAGGTTGCCACAGCTTCTCAAGTATGATGGACAGTGGCTTAGCAACTTCATCCCCTGGTTCCCTCAGGAACTGCAGATGCATCTCATCAGGTCTTATGGACTTGTGCACCTGCAGATACACCAATGTACCTAAAGAAGCTTTTCTTGTTGCTCCTGGCATCCCCGGCCAGATTCTATTAGAGCTTTAGCTTTCCTAACCTGACCCCTGGCTGCTTGGACAATCTCTCTGTATTCCTCTCAAGCCGCCTGTCCTTGCTTCCACCCTCTGTAGGGTTCCTTTTCGTGTTTGAGTTTGTCCAGAAGCATCTTGTGTCAAATTACAAGAAAGAATTTCTTCTCAGAAATTGTCTCAAATAATTAAAATGAGAACATATTCACTACATTAATGAGAGAATGGCCTTTGTTATGCTACAGAATAGGCTGTGTTAGTTGTAGGAGTTATTTGCTAATAATGAAGGTATTTTTCTCACTGTTCTGCAGCCAGAAGTGCCTCAGATGTGCTGGCTTACTGTAAAAATTATAGGCGTGAGAAACCTCCGCAAAGCAGATGTGTGTAAGTATCACTCATGGCATGTTTTAAGGTTAACAAGAAAATCACTGTGACCTTAATTTAATGCTCTTGTACACCTGTTGCTTGGATGATAGTAATATCTCAGGTTTTTCGGCTGAAGAAGTTGTATCTGTTTTCATTATCATTTAGTCTTGATTAAAATAATTGAGAAAACAGTTAACAATAGAAATGAAATAGTATAGAAACTATGTCAGAAAGGAAGCAATCCTTCCTTCACAGGCTGCTCCATGATATTTCCATTTCCCTTAACTCTGCAGTCCCTCTTTATTCACAGGCTGCCCATTTGCCTTCTGAAAGGTGCACCTTAGGAGAAATCAGTAGCGGTGTTGAGTGCTGCTGTGTTTGTCTTTTCATTGTTATATCACTGTGATGTGCACTACAACTAAAACCAGGTCACAAAATCCTCAAAACTAAATTCTTCTGTGCTTCAAAAAGTGAAGCCACAGGAAGTGAAGTTGTATGGGAATTTTCTTGGAGCCTGGCAAATATATGAAAAAAGAAGTAAAAAATCTGGAATGTTTCATATTGGTGCGGTTGAAATGGAATATTTTGGCATTTGTTATCAAATAGAATTAGTGGTTTAAAATTGGCTTTTGTTTGGAATGGATATAAATTTAGATATAAAAGTTAAATAACTCTAAACACAGAATGTTTTCCTATGGGTCTAATGAAATATTCAGGACGACTCAGAGGTTAATCTTTCTTCCTCTGATTGGGCAAAAGAAACAGTAAGTACTGCTGTACTAATTGTGCATCTTTTTGTTAACACAGTGAGCCAGACAGATTGCTATGTCAAGCTGTGGCTGCCAACAGCTTCATGCCAAGAAGCCCGAACAAGAACTGTGTGCAACAGCAGAAACCCTATCTGGAATGAAACTTTCTTCTTCATGATACAGAGAGAAGTAAAGGTAGGACCTGCACTTGTGATAGTGAGCAGACACTTCCTAAAGGGCACATCTTCATCTGCTGTGTGCAGAGTCTTTCTGAGAGCCTTGAGGCTCACACAGAGGCTTGAACTCAATTATGCTGAGGTATGGTAACAGAAAGATACAGAAAGCGTCTAAGACAGCATGAGATGCTGTTTCGCATCAGCAAATAAATATGCAAGCCTTGGTATGGATTCTGGAGGGCCCTGTCTGGTCTCTGTTATCTTCTAAGCATAGAACCCCATGAATTGGATGGGAGTTTTTATAAACTCTTTAGAGGATTAGTTATATTTTCTTGTATGCACTGTGAAGGCATTTTTGCTGTGCTTTGCCGTTGGTGTGGAGTTACTTGCTTTATACAGTAACAGTGGTGCTTTTGTGAATTGTAAGAGGTGCCACAACCTGATGCTGTATTTTTTCAAAATTAAAAATATCTTTAAATACTAACCATTCCAGCATTAAACAGGCATATTTTCAAAAGCCTATTAGGATATAAGAAAGCAAACTGTAAGTCTGATTTACAAACTTAGAAGAGAACCATACCTATCCCATGCGTTGAATGTAAGCTCAGAGGTTATAGATCTTTTGGAAAAAGGTTGAATGCTTCTTTCTTCACAGAATAGCTGTAAAAAACCTGTTAAAATGTTTGTAGAGTTAGCAGAAATAGATTGGCACTCAGAGTGAGATTGAAACAAGGTCTAGATATGGGGTCAGCTTCCTGTGGCTTAATAGTGCCGTATCCTCTCATGCAGCTAGGGGTAATGTGAGCCCTGAGAAATTGCAAGGGGAGTCACTACAATTTAAATCTTATTAAGAGTTTGCTAATGTGCTTCACCTTTCATTTTAAAGGGCAAACAGTTTCCCCTCTATTATTGTTTCATTCTCGAAATACTAATTATGAATTGACAAAGGGTACGATGAACAGCTTGTGTAATCTCTACTCTGTCCAGTGCATATTACCATCATGAATGTAGTTTATGCTGCCCTTTCTTTTGAGTTCTTGTTCATTGCCAGGTCATGGACTAATCCTAGAAGAGGTAAATCATCAGATTTGGCAGTCTGAGCGATGGGGCTGTGAACTCCATGCTGCCACAGGAGCCTGTCTGCATTGAGCAACGCAAGGGCTGCGTGCTGACTCTTGCTAGACCTTCCTTTTAGACTCAGTAGGCCCAGAGTGCGGCATTCACATCCTCTTCTGCCTCTCTCCTCAGAACATCCTGGAGCTGTCAGTCTGTGATGAGGATGCTTTTACACCTGATGACCAGCTCTTGACTGTTAGCTTCGATGTAGCTAAAGTCCAACCTGGAGAAAAAGTCCACCTGAATTTTAAGTTGGATCCAGAGGTGAGAATAAAAAGATCAGTGAAATTAAGTGGATAGATAAAATAATACTCTCGATAGGAATTTGTCCCAAGTTACTACCACATTAGAATTGTTCTCACACACAAAGGCTTTGTTAAAAGGATGTTATTAAAACACAAAGTTAAATGCTCAGGCTTTTGGAGGGGTCAGAAACAGTCACTCCTCTGTTGTTACTGCAATTAGGTGCAAAATGATTTGAATTTTTTTTTTTTTTTTTTTGAGATTTCAAGAATGTCTTTTGATAAAACCAGAGAGATCAAGATCCAAAAGTGAAGCAGCTGATGGTCAGATATCTCAGTGCTGTTGTAGGACACTGACAGAGCCGGGATGGGAGCAAACCTGGCCCAGTTTCTGGGCCACTGCCCTGATCCTTTGGCCAGTAGCTGCCTAGGGGTATCTCCTCTCAGCTTCACCAGGGGTTTTGTCCTGTGCTTTCAGACAATACGCTTGGTAAATGATTATGTATTTTCATGAAAGTCTCCCATATCATTTTCCTCCTTCCAATAAACAACACCTTCTCTGCTTGGAGGCTGTGTAGTAACAAGACTAGAGCTTCTTCATGCTTCTGGCAAGGGCTTGAATTTATGGTTCTCAGGAACTGTGTGTGCTCTGTTCATTTCTAAACCACCGTGTCAGACAGGCTGTCAAGGAAACACTCTTGCTTGTCTTTTTTATTACAGTTGCTTTGGAGAGAGTTTATTAACTACTCTTCCAGAAAGCCTATCTTTCCTAAGGATTGCAATATACCTGCCCCAGCTGGCCATGGCCTTCCTTAGAGAAAGGCTCATGTGAGATCATTGAGATCATTTGAGGTGTGATTCAAGCTGTGAGTTTGCTCTGGGGCATGTGCAGAGTTGGCTTAACCCATTGGTATGGCAAGGTGGAAGTTGCGGAGATAAGACAAGGTGAGCTGTATCTCAGGAATGTCTTGGTCAAGCTGTCCTTACTCAGATCGCAACTCCTGTTCAGGCCCATGAGGCATCACATATTGTGGTTTGTACATGGATTTTTTAGAACATTTAGGCTTGCCTTTTTTTGGGTTTTTTTTGTTTTTTTTTTTTTTTTTTTAGTGACTTAGTAATGGACCATGCTGGGCAACCTTAATAATTGATGTAATTGTAGTTGCTACCTCTGCCCGAGTGACTTCTTCATTCTGCCAAGGTATCTCAAAAGGAGGGCTGAGGAGGCTGGATGGGTAATGTCAGAACATCAGGGTTGCCTCCTGCTGTGCCTCTTGTGCCATCCAACAAGTCTTTCTATTGCTATGCTCCGGGTTTTTCACCCACAAAAATATGAAGGGGACTTAATATAACTTGTGTGTGAGTGTGTACAACAGCATAAGAAGGATGGGAACACAATGGAGGCACAATTAGATGTTAGGAGCCAGGATCTCCTGAACATTGTTTATGCTGTTCTTTGGACAAAGGTGGAATAGACTGCCAGTGAGTTTGGGTAATACAGGCTGGTCACAGGCTGGTGCTTGATAAAGTTTGTCTTGCACCTCTGTAAGGTGACTGCTTTCTAAAATCCATCTCTTATCCTTCTGTTACAAATTGTTGCAACCACCCTAATTCTCATGAAATGCAGACTTCGGGAGAAATAAGCAAATGGAACCACCTGCTGCTGGGTTACATGCCAGAGATCCAGCTCTCAGAGAAGCCACCTGGGATGTCCCATTTACTGAAGGGAACTACTAAATACACCCACTTTTCACCTTTACTGTAGCGACGATTTTACCTTGGCAGCTACGTTACCAGACTTGGCATTTATTGTGAAGAGACTTTCACAGTCTCTTCACAAAGTTGAAGTAGTCTGTGCAGCCAGACAGAGGGGATATTTGGCAGTGAAAGTTAGTTCATATGAATATGAAAGAAAACTTTTACCATCACTTGCCAGAAAGAGATTTATGTCTTCCACTGGTTAGTGTTTTCCTCCCTGTCGGTGATAAAGAAGACCTCTGATGTATGTTTGTGTGGTATGTCCTGGACTGGCTGTCCCCCATATAGGCTGATCCTCAAATGTCTGCAGTAAAATAATGCAGTTACTCAGTTGCTCTTCCATTGTTGATGTGTTACTCTTTTCAGTTGCTGTTCCCTGCTATTACACTTCCCCCTTTTCATTTTGATTTGGCCCTTATGAGCTCTTTTCCTCATTCCCCTTCACAGCTTCAGTCTTCCCTCTTCTCTGTTCTTCCCTTCCACCTTGGAAATTTTAATTTTCCAAGTTGGTCTCTTCTCCCACCTTTTTGTATTTGTTTAGTCACTATACTCTGCAAATTCCTCTGTTTTAACCCAGACATACTCACCACATATGTCCATTTATTCTCATGTATGTTCTCTTACATCATTCAGCTGTTATACTTCCCTTCCTCAGTACTGATTGACCATATCTCATCCTACTAATAAATGAATAATGGGACCTTCACCCCTCATTCCATGATACTCCC